CTTTGCCCTCTCCTCCTGAGTCCTCTCTTCCTGCGCTTGCCGACCCTGAGTCGGACTCTCTTCGTGCTGCCAGTCGTACTGTCACGCGTCTCCTTGCTACTGTCGTCACTGACCCCTCCTTTGAGTCCACTGCTGCATCTGCTCTTGTTGCTGAGCTCGTCGACTTTGCTGCTCGCTGTCGTCTAGACTACGCTGCTAGTCTTATTGCTGATTCTGCGTCTGTCTGTCCTCTGTCCGTCGGGGGTGAGTGTGCTCTTGGCACGGACGTCCTTGAGGACAGGCAGGAGGAGTTTCAGTGTCTGGCTGCTGCTTCACCTCATCTCGCGTCTGTACTGCTTGCCCCTGAGGGAGACCCGGATGCACTAGACATCCCGACTCCGCGTTCTTACGCGGAGGCCGTAGAGGGTCCCTACTCCTCTCAGTGGCAGGCAGCTATGGATGCAGAGATGGCTTCCTGGAAGTCCACAGGCACCTACGTTGACGCGGTTCCCCCTCCTGGGGCGAACATCGTCAGTGGGATGTGGATCTTCAGGGTGAAGCGGCTGCCGGGCTCTCCACCTGTCTTCAAGGCGCGGTACGTGGCTCGTGGCTTCAGTCAGCGGCAGGGAGTTGACTACTTTCATACCTTCTCTCCCACCCCGAAGATGACCACTCTTCGGGTGCTGCTGCACATAGCCGCTCAGCGCGACTACGAGCTCCACTCTCTTGACTTCAGCACTGCTTTCTTGCAGGGTAGCCTGCACGAGGAGATCTGGCTGTGCCGTCCACCTGGCTTCACTGGGACTTTCCCTCCTGCCACCCAGTGGAGCCTCCGACGGCCAGTCTACGGTCTCCGCCAAGCACCGCGTGAGTGGCACGACACACTGAGGACTACGCTTGCGGCTCTTGGGTTTGCTCCCTCTACTGCTGACCCGTCGTTGTTTCTGCGCTCCGACACTTCTTTGCCGCCGTTCTACATCCTCGTGTACGTCGACGACTTGGTCTTTGCCACAGCGGACACTGCTGGACTCGCCTACGTGAAGTCCGAGCTGCAGAAGAGACACACGTGCACAGACCTGGGTGAACTGCGCAGCTACCTTGGCTTGCAGATCACTCGGGACAGAGCACGCCGCACCATTACCTTGACTCAGTCACACATGGTGCAGCAGGTCCTTCAGCGCTTCGGCTTCACGTACTCCTCGCCTCAGGCCACTCCTCTGTCTACTCGCCACTCGCTCTCAGCTCTGCCTTCGGATGAGTCCGTAGAGTCGAGTGGCCCGTACCCAGAGCTTGTTGGCTGCCTCATGTACTTGATGACCTGCACACGACCTGACCTTGCATACCCTCTTAGCATCTTGGCACGCTATGTTGCTCCTGGGAGACACCGACCAGAGCACATGGCTGCAGCGAAGAGGGTGTTGCGCTACTTGTGCAGTACGTCGGGCATGGGGCTAGTGCTTGGAGGGCGGAGTCCAGTGGTCCTCACTGGGCACGCAGACGCTTCTTGGGCTGACGACCAGGCTACGCAGCGGTCGTCGCAGGGTTACACCTTCAGTCTTGGTTCCGGCTCTGTTTCGTGGCGGGCTACTCACTCGTCTTCTGTTCTCGGCTCTAGTTGTGAGGCTGAGATCTACGCCGGGGCCATGGCTGCTCAGGAGCTTCGCTGGCTCACCTACCTGCTGACTGACCTTGGAGAGCCGCCTCGTTCTCCTCCAGTGCTGTACGTAGACAACAAGGCCATGCTGGCCTTGTGTCGAGAGCAGCGCCTGGAGCACAGAACGAAGCACATTGCTCTCCGCTACTTTCTTGCTCGTGAGCTGCAGCAGCGTGGTCAGTTGCGACTTGCGTACGTGGCCTCTGAGGCCAACACTGCTGATGTCTTCACCAAGGCACTTCCGCCTTGTGATCATCATCGTTTCTGCACTCAGCTGGGACTTGTCCCAGTCTTGCCTCACTTGCTCACCTCTTGACCTTACTTGTACTCTTGCATATATATATACCTTCTCTTGCTTGTTTAGACTTATATATATATGTCTCCTCCTGCATGTGAACTGGCCTTGTGGCCTTGACCTTGTGCTTAGACTGTGTGGTGACGTTGTGATCCACCCTGAGCTTGCTTTGCTTTGCTTTGCTTGACTGGTCTTGTGACCCCTTGTTCTCCCCCACTTTGCCTATGGGGGTGTGTCAGAACATTATAGCTTATGCTTTTGTGTAGGCTATAGTGGGGTATCCCATAGGGGGTACAACCCAATTAGGGTTAGTACTTGTACCCACTTCACTCATAGTTCATTCATTCTCGTTCTCATTTTCACAAAATTCGATACTCCGTTTTTGCAAAGGTAACTGGGAAAAAGCGGCCTACCATCAGGGCAAAAAGGGTATTTTACCGTATTCTCCCGGACATAACACCCTAGGGTATAGCTAAAAATACAAGGAAAAAATGGGGGGGGTCTCCTCATAGGAAAAAAATGCATAATACCCGGGTCTTTACATATGGCATATTTTAGTGTTAGTGTTTTTTTAATCAGTCAATGTGGGTGTTTTGCTGGTCGTTTTAGCATCACTGCCTGAGGTGCAAATGTCAGTTTCGGCCTCGAACTTCATCGCCCTCACGAAAATGCCATGTGACACCTCTCTTGCTACTTGCAACGGAAGATTCACCTGCACGTGGCAACAGAGAAATAGTGGGAGGGGGCAAATCTCGGCAGATTGCCTTTGAATGTACCGCGAAATTTCATTGAGGGAGAAATTCACACGATATTCTTCCGTATTGCAGCTACTCGTTAACGACTATAATAATGAATTCGTAAGAAAAGGGGGGTGTTATAGAAAATCAGCCAAAAAGGGGGGTATAGTAGAAACGAGGTCTATCATAACACCCACCCCGCACAAGCTACCCGGGGGTGTACAATTATGGGGGGGTGTTTTGTCCGGGAGTATACGGTACCCTTGAATTTGGGGCCTGGTTGACAGTGCGAATTTGCTGTGACCTGTAAGTCCGAATCACTAGTCAATGACGCGTTTGTACTCTGAATTATCAGAGTTCACTCTAAAAAAACTATGAACTCTCAGAGTTAGCCTTTAAAAAGGTCTGAAAATTACCGAGTTGAGGCCCAAAAAAGTCTGCTTTTATTAGAGTACACAGAAACAAAAATATGAAATATCAGAGAAAAAAGTCTGACTTCTGAGCAGGGTCGTCGCTAGCAGATTTTTTTTGTCTGTTTGGCTGATATTCAGACATGTTTTTTTGGATAAATCTGATGGGCTAGTCACCATCAGACAAAACTTTTTTTTGCCCGGGGGACCCATCTGATGCATCAGACATACCTCAGACCCTAGGGACGACCCTGCTTCTGAGGGCCTGCCCCTCATAGTACATGGCTAGCTAGGACCTTTCATATTCCACTGTATTCCTATATAAACCCTTATACTTCATTGTAATAGTCACTTCTGTCGAGATTCAAGTCTCCTTCTTGTGACAAAGTCCGTACCTAACATTACATAGCAATCTTCCGCTGGTACACTCCGTGCGATCAAGCTGAGACGATCCTATAAGACGGTTCAGATCGTATCACATAGAAATTTCTCAGTTCGACACTTATGACCATTTATTGTTCTTCCAACAATAAGCATTTTGTAAGTGAAATACCTGTGCAGCAAGTTTTAAAACCGAAATATAAAATTGTGAACCCCGGCCCATCTTGAAATGGCCGCGGCGCTTTTGCAGCTGGAAGGGGGGAAAACTTACTGTTCGGTCTGACATAACTGACGAGAGAAACAGAGTTGTTTAGGAACATGATTGGCCAGCGATTGAGGAAGTGAGAACCTGCTTTTGCCATTGGTTGCGGCTACTGACAATCGTCGCTCGCAAACCGGCTGTGCAGTGACTCACGGAACACTGGAAACAAATCTTCGTGTAAACAGGGTCACATAGCTGGGGCACGAACGTCAGTCGACTGCACGGACATTCATGTTGGGTCCACTTGAATTTCAAGTTGGACATGGGTTACACGACCATTTCCGTGCCCGCTGGTGCCCATCGTAATCTTAGAGAACACAGAAGCTCCGTGGCCGGCTTTAGCGGGAACATAGCATAAAAGACGCCACACAGGGGGGTGTCACAGTAGAGACGAGAGTAACCGTCATTCATAGCAAGAAAGTCGTGCGAAGACAGGGTACTTTCAGTTAGAATAATTACCGAACGCATACCTGACTACGCTGCCTAGTATACGATTTCTGATATCATAGTGCAATTCGAGGCCCCACTCTGCAACATTGGCTGATAGTACTCGTCGTGAAGACCAGCGCCACGGCGTTTAACCGAGCAAGTCAACAGGAGCTAACCCTTGCTACGTTTGTGTACGGAACGGACGTCCAGCCATTGCGATTGTGAAAAGGGCATGACCGACTCTGCAAGGGGCGCACCGAAATTGAAACCGCCTACTAATCAGGTAGCGAACCCGCGGATGGCGTTTAACCGAGGCTTGCGCCATGATTTAGACTACGGTTCAGACGGCCTGCACGCCCATGGGGGGCAGGCCGTCACGTTCGTAGTGAAACCGCGAGGTAGCGTTATGAGGTGAGTCGATGTCGAACATACCCTGTTCCCCCATTGCCTGCTGCCCCATCCGTGATCCCCCATTCCCCGCTCCCCCAGCAGCGGACGGCTCAAGGTACGCGCCCGCTGCCGCATTAGACATGTCTCACGGGCAGCACGTACGCGACATGCTGTCCGTCGACGTCAGACGGTCAGCATATGCGCGAAATGCTGCCCGTCATTTTCTGACGGGGGTATAGGCGCGAAATGCGTAATGCGTCTGTCTGACAGGCGGCATTCGCGCGCTATGCGGAAAGCCGCTGTCAGACGAGCAGCATGCTCTCGAGATACCTCCCGTCACTGTCCGACGGCCAGCATACGCGAGCCCTGCCCAATGCGGCTGTCAGACAGTGACGAGCACCATTTCGCGCGAAATGAGGTGCATCCGTGCCTGACAGGCAGCAGGCGTACGAAATGATGCCCGTCACTGTCTGACGGGCAGCACGCGCGGCCCATTACCGGTTCCCCCCTTCCCCGTTCGAGCATTTCCTGCTCCCCCATTTCCTGCTCCCCCATTCCCTGCTCCCCCATTCCCTGCTCCCCCATTCCCCGCTCCCCCATTCCCTGCTCCCCCATTCCCTGCTCCCCCATTCCCTGCTCCCCCATTCCCTGATCCCCCATTCCCTGGGGCCCCGTTCCCTGTTCCCCCATTCCTGTTCCCCCATTCCCCGCTCCCCCATTACCTGTTCCCCCATACCCTGCTCCCCCATTCACTTTTCCCCCATTCCCCGCTCCCCCATTCCCCGTCCCCCCATTCCCCGTTCCCTCATTCCCTGCTCTCCCATTCCCTGCTCCCCCAGTCCCTGCTCCCCCATTCCCAATCTGCATTCCCAAAGACAGAATTCCCCGATCCCCCATTCCCTGTTCCCCCATTCCCCGCTCCCCCATTCCATGTTCCCCCATTCCCCGCTCCCCCATTCCCTGTTCCCCAATTCCCCGCTCCCCCATTCCATGTTCCCCCATTCCCCGCTCCCCCATTCCCTAATCCCCCATTCCCCGCTCCCAAGTTTCCTGTCCCCCGATTCCCTTACCCCCAATCCTTGTCCCCCCATTCCCTGCTCCCCCATCCCCTGTTCCCACATTCTCCGCTCCCCCGTTCCCGGTCCCCCAATTCCCCGTCCTCCCATTCCCCGTTCCCTCATCCCCTGCTCCCCCATCCCCTGCTCCCCCATCCCCTGCTCCCCCATCCCCTGCTCCCCCATCCCCTGCTCCCCCATTCCCTGTCCCCTAGCTCCCTGCTCCCCCCTTTCCCTACCCGCTGGTTCCCCCTTTGCCATCTCTCTGAAACATCACTCCCATCCCTCCCATTGCCAATAACCAATTTATGGACAGCGGAGGGGGTAGACAGAAACGTGGTGCCTTGGTCGAACTTACCCATTGTTTACCCCGCTGCCACTCTTTCTATTCCCCCTGCTTACCCGTTGTTTCCCCCCCTCTGAGTCTTTCTTTTCCCCTGCTTACCCATTGCTTCCCCTCCTTCTCCCCACTGCTTCCCCTCCTCCTCCCCCCTGCTTCCCCTCCTTCTCCCCCCTGCTTCCCCTCCTTCTCCCCCTTGCTTCCCCTCCTTCTCCCCCCTGCTTACACCCTTCTTCCCCCTTTCCCCTCTCCTCCATACGCCCATCAGCCTCCCTTTCCCCGCTCTTCCCATCTCTACCTTACTACCTTCACTACCTTACGCCCTGACGCCCCCTTTCCCATCGATTCCAGGCACCATTACTCCCGCTCTCACCTCTCAAACTTACACCCTTGTCCCCCCTTTCCCCTCTCTGCCTTATCCCCCTCTTGCCGTTCTCCACCTTACGCCCTGCTTCCCCTTTCCCCCTCTCTGCCCTACATCCTTCTCCCCCTTTGTTCAGCCTGCCTTACCGCCTTCTACCGCCTTTCCCCCCTCATCACTTACGCCATTCCCCCCCCATTTCCCCTCTTCCATACCCCCTTCTTCCCCCTTCCCCCTCTCCTCCTTACGCCCGTTTTAACCCTTACGCCACACTGCCTACTCCCCTACTTCCACCTTTTCCCTTTCTCCCTTGCTTCATTCCTCCCCCTTCCCTAGGTATACTGCCTTTTACCCGTCTCCTGCCCTTCCCCTCTCCACCTTTCAACCGTCTTCACCCCTTCCCCTCCCTGCCATTACAGCCTTCTGTAAAACTCTCCTCGATCTGCCTTGCGCCCTTATTCCCCCCGTTCCCTCTCTTCCCTACTCCCTTTCCCCGTTACACCACTCTTCCGTATTCTTTTGTCCCCCTCTCCCTCACTATCCCAATCTGTCCCTTCCTCCCCTCTGCTATTCCCCCGACTCTCCTTGACCCCGCCCCCATGACGCGCCCTCTGTACGCAACACCCTTCGGCGCTGAACGCCACCTCCATCCACCATAAAATGGACCGTTTGTCCCCTTTCGCCCGTCTTCGGTGCCCCACACCCTGTTCCCACCTCTCTGGCTTACCCCCTGCTTCCCCCTATCACCTCACCGTCAACCGCTCTTCCTCCCCGTTTCCCCTCTCTTCCCTACACTCTTCTTCCCCACCGTCCCCTCTCTGCCTTTCTCCCAGACTCCCCCATTCCCCTGCCTCCTTACACCCCACTTCCCCCACCATGCGTTTAGTTCCACACACCGTGCTTCCCCCTTTTTCCTCACTTCCATACACCCTATAAAACCTACTTCCCCTCTCCGCCATTCGCCCATCCTCCCCCCATTCCCTCACTTCCAACGACCTGTCTGCCGCCACCCGTGAGCTCTCTGCCTTGCACTCTGTTTCCCCCTAGCTCCACTCTGCCTTACCCCTATCTACCTCCTTTCCATCCCCGGTGCCTTACACCCAGCTTCCCCCATTTCCCTCTCTTCCGAACACCCTTCTTCCCCTTCCCCCCTCTTGTCCTTACGCCCTGCGTCTCCCTTCCCCTTCTCTCCTTACACTTTCTTATTGCACCATGAGTTCTCTGCCTAACGCCCTGCTTCCCCCTGCTACCCCCTTCATCTTCCTCTCCCCACTCTGCATTACCCCCTCCATTCACGTTTCCACCCACGGTGCCATACGCCCTGCTTCCTCCTTTTCCCTCTCGTCCCTACACCCTTCTTCCCCCTCACCCCTCTCTGCCACGGGTCAACCCCCTTTCCCCTCTCATCGTATTACGCCCTGTTTCCCCCGTTAGCCTCTGACTTACGTCCTCCTTCCCATATTCCCCACTCAGCCATACCCCCTTCTTCCGCCTTTCCACCCTCTCTGACTTACGCCCTTCATCCCCCTTTGCCCCTCTGTATACCACCCGTCTTCCCCCTTGTCCCCACTCTTCCCTACTCCTTGCTTCCGCCTCTCCACTCTCGATGCCTTACTCTCTTCTTCGCCCTTTCACCGCTCCACCTTACACCCTTCTTCATGCATAGTGCATTCTCCCCCTAACTTCCTAAGAAGCACAGTTTCCATCCCTACCCTACACCCCTCTTCCCCCTTTCCACACCCTAACTACCCCCTTTCCCTTTTCTGCCCTTCCCCCTTCTTCCCCCCGTGGCCTCGCTTCCATACTGCCGGGTTTTCCCTCGTAACTTCACTCCCTGCCATACTCCCTGCTTTCCCGCTTCCCTCACTTGTCTACACCCTTCTTCCCCCTCTCGCTCCATGTGCCCTCTCACGCAGCTATCTCCATGCTCCACCCCTTGCCCTCTCGTGCTACGCTGTCGACTGTCCTCTCGCGCCTAAATCACCTTCTCCCAATTACCATTCTCTCTTTCAAACTCCATCTGCTCCCTCTCCTCCCTCTGTCCCATCTCCCCTCCCTGTTCTAATTCCCCTCGCCAACACAGCGCCCTACGCGTCGGCTCCTCTACACCTCTCTGCTCAAAGTCTCCAATCCGCGACACTCGGCGCCGCCGCGCCACTCCTTGGGGTGTAACATCAACACTCTCATAGAGGAACCAGGTATGTCACACCAACTCTTCCCTGCCCCTCTCCTCCCTCCACCTTCTCTCGTCTCCAGAGGCCTCTCCGCTCTGACTTCCCTCACGCCCCACCCTGCCTTACTCCCCCCTCCGCCTTCCTTTTCTCAACCCCCTGCTCTCTCTCCTCCCGTCACAAATGCTACTCCGGAACCGCTCCTCCCCCTCTTCGGCTCCCAGCCCTCTATCCCTTCAAAGCCATCTCTCCCCTCCTTGCCCTCCCTCGACCCCTTGCACTCCCCTCCCTCCCTTCCCTCCCTCCTCTCAACAATCTGTTGCCCCTGTCCCACCGTCGTGTTGCAATCTGTCCTGTCCCCAATCCCACGCTCTTTCATCTCCGTGCTCGTCGTGCCCCCTCGCTATCCTGTTCCAACCCTGGGTTGTCAAGCCTGTATTCCCAAGCATTACACATAAATGTGAGTTCTTCTGTCTTACTAGATGACCGCAGTCTGTCCGCGTCTGCACCCACTCCATGTATTAGCATGTCCCCATGTAGCAGCAATGTTGTCTCCCAACTGCCGCACATTGTCCGTGCCCCATGCTTTGTCATGTTGCACTGAGAGATTTGGCACACCGAGCGCTCAGCGACCCCCTCCATGCTCGTCGCCCTTCCCCACCCTTTCAAACCAGTCTACCACTCTCTCCTGCCATTAGTGTGAGGGCAGGGTGCAAATGTCGCACCGACCAGGGACGGACAGGGGCACAGCTAAGCGCGTCTGAACTGGGGAGCCTGTTAGGTAAGCCATTTCTATTTCCCATTACTATGCCTGCAGCACCTGCTCCCTTTGGAAACATTGCCTTATTGCTTGTTATCTTTTTACCCATCGCTCATTCATCCTTGTCACTGTTTTGGGCAGGCCGCGATGCAGAGCTCTCATGCGTCGCCGGCCGGAAGGGGTACGCATGGCGTACCAGGATGATATTGAGGAGACCGAGGAAGGGATGCAGTGGGAGAGTGCATCTAATACATTGGAAGTGGTTGAGTCAACGAGCAGTGTTTCGAGCAGACCAGCGCCTAGGATGACTCGACGGGTCCGTGTTCGCTCCGGCCTGCCCCCAATCATTGTGAATCCTGCGTTCTGCTGGACAATCAATGAATTTGCTAGGCGTGTCCCAAAACAGTATGATGTCCTGCAGAAGTGGGCGGCCAGCTGGTTATCCTTCCCCTCTGAAGAAACTGTAGGTCGTTTTGCAACTCAACGTACAGTGGAAAATGTGATACGAGTTGCGTGTGGCGCAAACCGTGGGTGTGGACGACGTGGAGGTGGAGCCGAAAAACCACCATTTCCGATGTTACGTGGGGTATTCAGATTTGTTGGGAGAGGACACTAGTGACCAGGTTGTGCTTCCATGGCTGATATACGTTGTGATTGCCTCCCTGTACCCAGAGCCATCATCGGGGGGGTATTACACGGGATGTGGGGGGGACGATGTGTTGTGGTTCAACGACTACAGTCCGATGCCCGAAGTGATCAACTTTGAATGCGATGGTGTCGCGGGGATTTATGCGCAGTCACTCGATTGATAGCCCGTGAATGCACATGTGTATTAGACACGCTTAGACCATACTCTTATTAGTTGAGAACTACGTACTTGTCTTCTGAAACAACCTCCTACACACGCTTGCAGTGCCCAAACTTCCAGAGAGATAAGTAAGCGCACATACAAGGCATTTGAGTGATAGCCAGTGAATGAACATGTGTGTTTGACACGCTTTGACTCTTTACTTGAGAACCACTTGTGGTGGGAGAACAACCTCTTGCACACGCTTGCAATGCCACAGACATGAAGAGAGATAAGTAAGCGCACATACAAGGCAGCCATGTGTAGCCGCTATTGCACTGTCTGCGCCAACAGGTAGACACTGAGGTTCGGGTGCATTGTACGGTGGTCATGCGACACCCCGTGTTGTGAAATCTACAAAACACGCCAAGTTGTATGAGTCAGGGAGGACGCATGGCAGCACTGAGCACAGGGAGGAACAGGGTGAAGACCATGCGTCTACCATGAATCCAATCGTCACGTATGAGCTTGGTGCCCTTGCTTAGTGTGGCGGTTTGACGGGATGCCGTTCGGGCGTGGCGGTCCAAAAGTTCCTGCAACCAGTGAACCCCCCATGGTGCATACTCCTTGACGCATAGCTGCTGTAGGGTGCAACGGGGTGCGGATGGAAGGGGTGGGAGTAAATGGGATGCGTGGGATGTAGATGGATGCTGCACCCGCAGGCGTGTGGGGCAAGGTACGCGTATGTAGGTGTGCATGTAAAAGTTGTTGTGCAAGTGTGGGCACTTGTGCAAAGGAACAGGGACGTTCTGCAAGGCTGTGCACGTGTGCACGTGTGAGCACATGTGCCAAGGCTTGCACATGGTGAGTTGTTGGGCTCGTGGTGAACCATTGGGCTTGTGGTGGGTTGTAGGGCCTGTGGTGAGTCGTTGGGCTTGTGGTGAGTCGTTGGGCTTGTGGTGGGTCGTTGGGCTTGTGGTGAGTTGTGGAGCCTGTGGTGGGTCGTTAGGCTCATGGTGAGTTGTAGGACTCGTGGTGAGTTGTAGGGCCTGTGGTGAGTTGTAGGGCCTGTGGTGAGTCGTTGGTCTTGTGGTGAGTCGTTGGGCTCGTGGTGAACCGTTGGGGATGTGGTGAGTCGCGAGGCTTGTGGTGGGTCGTTGGGCTCATGATGAGTCTTTGGGCTCGTGGTGAGTTGTAGGGCTTGTGGTGAGTCGTTGGGCTTGTGGTGGGTTGGTGGGTAGGTTGGTAGGTAGGTTGGTGGGTAGGTTGGTAGGTAGGTTGGTGGGTAGGCTGGCGAGTAGTCGGTGAGTAACATATGGGTCGGTGGGTATTTTGTGAGTGAAGTGGAGGCTAGTAGGCTATGAGCGAGAGGACCCAATGAGCATATGAGGGAACTCAGTGAATCATATGTGTGTTGCAGGGTGGATTGTGTAAACAGTACCTCTTGAAATACTAACTGTTTGGGTGGCTCCGAAGCTTTTTTCGGGGCGGCATGAATGGTCTGCGCACTGGTGGGTCATCCGGTCCTGCACACAAGGAATGGATACATATCGAACGTGAATTTAGACACTTGAATCCCGTGTGGCCTTGTTGGTAAACAAGTTACACTAAAGAACGCACAACAATAAAAACACACAATACTTTACCCATGAACAATTAGATGGGGTCAACGTGGCAGCGAGGATGCGCGGCGCCACTCGGCAAAAATGTCCTGCGTCCATTGCCAGTTCATTGGTCCAAGCACGCGATCTTTCTTCCCACGACACACACGAGTCGCACGGCGGATCCGGATGATATGTCTCAGGACAAGTCGCTCAACGGTGTTGTTCCAATGTAGAATCGAGAGTGCAATCCGTGCTTCCACACTCTTCGGTGTATATTTGCAAATCACCGAATGAAATGACTCGTTCAGCCAGCTGGACGCGCGAAGCACGAACGGTTGCATCTTGTCTGCGGAACAGTGTTTCCGTAGCCAGCTCCTGAAGGCTAGATGTGTGGCTCCACCGTATTCATACACTGCACTCTCTAGACCCCACCCATCAGCGACGCACCGAGGCACAATGCCATGTCGAGCACAGCGAGAGTGATCACTGGCCCAATGCTCGGTTGATAGAGCAAGCTCAGCCTCGACGTCTTCCGCGGTCATGGTACGACCTTCTTTGGCAAGAGTAGCACCGCGCACCATCACGTGATGAAAATGGATACTAAACCGCTGCGGAGAACTCACTTCCTCAACAACTGCCATATCATCCGATGAACCACCCCCCCCTTCAGCACTTGGCAGCAGACTCCGCTGGTTGCGCCGCGTTCTTTTGGCCTTGCGCACCCATCGCCGTCCCCCCTCCATGGCTGTTACGCTTGTCTGAATAGCACCTCCCATCGGATCGTTAACATTAGGACCCCGACTCTCGCCCGTATTGTCCCACCAACCACGGTCTCTAACTTCATGAATCTCTGCTTGCGTGGCCGCAACCTCCTCTGCCCACAATCCATGTGGAGCAGGATTGGCAAACAAGTTGGACAGAAAAGCGGACTCACATTCAAGGCAAACAAGTTATACAGCATGAAGAGCCCCTAAATGTTCAAGGCAGCGATGTGCAGCTGAACGAACTCACATTAAAAAAGTTAAGGTGTTGTGATTTTCAAAATGGCTCTTCCTTCTTACGAAACAATAGCAGGGGCGGAAATACAAACTCCTACGAAGGTTTTTCACACATTGGATCGAGCAGCTTACCTTGCTCCGTCATGTCTGCCCCGAAGTCGAATGATGCTCCCACTGTTTCCGATCGCCCTGCAACCTCCTGTGCCAGTAACAGCGATGCATACGACGACGGGTGGATCCCGTGCACTGGGTACGGATCCCAGGCGAACATCTCGGCAACATCCTGAAAAATAATCCATTCTCCGTCAACGTCTGTATCTGTCTCATCCGCTGTTGCCATGGGGGCATCCACAGTTGCCGTGGGGGCAGCTGTGGGGGCATCCGCTGCTGCCGTGGGGGCATCTGTAGGGGCATCCACTGCTCCCGCAGCTGTAGCTGCAACTGTGTGGTCTGATCCCGTGGCTGACCCGTCCATCCGCACCACCACACGTCGCAAATCTGGGTGCTTGTACGACGCCTCCCCCTCATCACAAGTATTGTACTCGATACCATCAAGATCGCCACATACCGCTCTGACGAGTGCGTCTCTAGTTGACGTAACATTCAGCTTCCCTTTCGTCCCATTTTGGTCCCATCACCGTTCTAGATAGCCAAGGCATCTTGGGACCCTTTTTGGACTCCTGTCCAACATCTGGTGTACGATCACAGCTCCACCACACCTCCGTATGTTTACATCTTAGGCATCTCCATAGCAGCCCGAACGCACCCAATGTACTTTTCCATGATTGCAAAAGCATTGCCCCTCCACTGCCAGCAGTGCACTGGACTGAAAAATGCAGCATTAGTTTCACAAACCAGACGGTGTCCATGTAGCACATGGTTCCCTTACGTGTTTCAGTAAGGCCTGGAGAAGATGGCCAGCCTTGTGGGACCCCTCATCCAAAATTTTGATGTCGCGCGGCCTCCCTGGTGGGTATGTGTGGATCAAAGGCACGCACAAAATGGTGTTAAGACACGTTGTCTCAAATAAACAGTATATGGACAATAGAGGCACACATGAATATGCAAGGGTTGCGGGCATAAAACTCAGTGTAGAAGGGCTTTGGGGCGCCTTACATGACGAAGCTTCTATCCCCTGTCGGCCGGCATCATCGCCACTCAGCATGCGTTGCACCCCTAGGACGCCCAAGCCAGACATGTCAGGAGGGGGTTCCACACAGTCGGTCTCGCACCCGCCAACTCGATCCATCGCAACCCCTGCAGAGCTCTGCTCTTGAAGTCGATCGGCTGCCTTGCTTGGTCCATTCCTCTCTATGCTACCATTCGCTGCATTTACAACCGCATCCATGGACTCGTGGGGCGACCCTTCAGCCAAAGGGACAGGGTCGGGTTCTCGTAGTATCCCTGAGCGTGTTGTGATGCGCGGCAGATGACTGACGGACCTGGATCTCGCCCTTGTCTGAAAAGTACCAGGCACAGTGTGAATGGTGAGTGGTGAGTGGGACCCAAACATGACAACACACAACCCCATAATAAGGAGTGATTATGCGGTAT